TAAAGAGAAAAAAACAACACCAAAACCCCTGCCACATAGTTGGTACAAAAACAAATTTAAAAAAAAAAAAAATGAGGGGGAAAAACCTGCAGCAACAGGAACTGGGGATCTCGCTGCAGGGCCTCCCGCAGGAAATCTCTTTGGAAAGCGCAGCTCGGGGTTACCCCTGAGCCACACACAGCCACCCCGATTATTCCCTCCCTCCCACCCGCTTCATAAAAATTCAAGAGTTTGACACAAACAAGCTTTGGTTGCTAGCAGTAAACATGGATTACATTCTTCCGTCTCCTCGTAGACAATCTTGTGACTCAAGGCTTTCGCACCAGGGGAGACACCCTCTCAGCGAGGGACGTCTTTTTCGCATACATTCAAACGCTCCCGTGTTACAGCAGGACCCTGAGTGTGCAGCCTCATCCGCCCGCCATTCGCTGTCCCGTAATGCATAGGTGCCCAGCGCCTGCGAGCCGAGCATGGGCAGGGTGGGTGGTGATGCAGCAACTGAGTTAATTATTGTCAAGATACGGGAAGAACCGCAATGGCAAACGCAACGAGAAGATGCGAATCAATCCCATCTTCTCCAACGCGGCTTCCCTTTACAGATAAAAATCCCTGTTTTCTTGGATCCCGGTACCACGCTGGCCCCGGGGGAAAACCTGAGCGATTCTCTAAGCCATTTGCCATTTGCCTTAGCCTAGGACAGGGATGGTTAACAGCTCGTATCCCCACACAGAGTTGCAAGGCAGAGTATACAGAGAAGATCCTGTCTCCCTGGTCCATAACCTATTAGATGCTTTGGCTATTTTTTTTTTTCCTTTTTTTTTTTTCCCTCTTACTTTTGTAAACAATAATCAAGGAGAATACTGAGAGAAAATGGAAAGATTTACAGAGGTATTTACACACACTAGACATCTAGCAGAAAAATCACCAAACCATTAAACTGGGGGCGAGGGGGGAAAGGTCCTACACGATTCTTCAAGACAGGTACAAGAATTAGGGGGGCAGCAGTTTCCCTGGCACAACCGAGGTGCCAGGGGAAGGCCAACAGCCCCCCGCAACGCGGCAGCGGGACCGAGGCCCAGGCTTAGACACGCAGCCCAGTGCGCTCTATTGCATTTACCCCGTTCAGACAAAAGCCGTTTTCCTGAAGTAGGTTTTTTTTTTTATAGATCCCATTGCTAGTCAAGATATGAAAAGTCCTTCCCCCCACCCTCCCAAGAAGAGACCACCACCTCACCATAAAAACTACTGGAGCAGGGCAGGCAAGCAGCTGGGGAGACGCACTCCATCCCCCCCGCCCCGGTGCCTGTGTGCCGCGGGGCAGAGCAAAGCCTCAGAGGGGTCACCGGGCTCCAGCAGCCTCAGCAAATCCCCCCCCGGTGACGCCCGTCGGCGAGGATGGAGTAGGTGCTCCCCGTCTGTTCCAGCCCCGCTCTACATCTAAATCTATCGCTACCTAAAAAACAGCAGAAACCGCGCCCACGTCCTGACACGCCAGCACGGCGAGACGCCCTCCCTGGGAAGGCTCCAGCCAGCCCCCGGGCTGCAAAGTGGAGTGTTAATGCCCCAAAACCAGGGATCCAGAGTTTCCCCGCGGCCATCGTGGGCCAGCATTTGGGGGAAGCCGGGAAGGGAGGAGAAAGCTGGAGCAGTTGCACCTCCCTTGGACTTGAGTCCACCTTGGTACCAGGTCCCTCATCCTAGGAGGTCACGGGCAGCCAGCCGGCCCTTTGCTTGAGGGCGAGTTACAGCAGGGGATTGAGGATAACCCTCAGTCTCCCAACAACCTCCCCGGCCGCTGTCTGCTCTTGCCATGTCCCCCCCGAACGGGCTGGGACCCCCTGAACGGGCTGGGACCCCCACCCTGGCTTTCCGATCCCCAGCCACACGGCACCAGCCTTCTGGGAGCCTGTGCGACATCCCAGCCTGCAGGCAACGGGAGGACACGGGCACGGGGCGGACTGGAGCATTCCCATCGGGATGGCGGGGAGGGGACGTGTGAGCGTAAACAGGAGAGAGAAATGGAGGACAGTCCTCAAAAGCCACCAGGCTGGGAGAAAATCCGGAGTTTGGGAGCCGACACGGGCTCTAGCAGCTGTTCCCTGCCCCATGGCACTGCCTGGCTTCTCCATCCCCGCACACAGATCTACAGACCCAAATTCCTCCTCAGTCCATGGGGAAGGGAAAGAGACTCTATTAAAATACAGTTAAAAAGAAAACAAATCCCAAACATATCAAAAAAACACAACTGAAAAGCTCGACAACACGTCAGTCCACCTAGCGAACATCCAGTGAGGTAGATCTACACTTCCAATACAAACTTAGTCACGTCTTTGTGCTGTTAGAAAAAACCCTCCTCTCTGTCCAGCACTGGGCTACAGAGGCATTTTATCCCTGAGATTGCTCGAATACCTGAGAATAAGTTGCAGGAATTATGTCCTTTCTCTCTCTTTTTTTTTCTTTTCTTAAAGATTAAAATATACAAAAATACAAAAACAGAATATTTATATTAAAAAAAAAAAAAACAACAACCCAAAACAAAGACGACAAACAAACCCAAAGATACGTCATTCACGCACGTCCTAGTGCAGGTTTCACTTGGCGTTGGCTTCGGCATGGACGGGGGGGCTGCCCCGGGAGAAGGGCTGTCCACCGGGGCCAATAAATAAAGGCAAGACTTGGGGGGGCCTGTGGGGAGGGAGGACAGCAGCCGCTAACGACCTGGGGCACCCTTTTCCTCTGCCCCTGGGGAGGCTCAGCCCAGGAACCATCGATATCTGGAGCGTGGGGTGGGCAGGAGGAGCAGAGGCGCGTTTTTGTCCGGCGTGGGTTTGATCCACAGCCCGTGGGAAGACCCAGGCAGTCTGGTGTCTGGATCAAGCCACGGCTGGATCTGCGCGAGCCCCGGGTGGGTGGCGTACACGGCCTCCGAGGGAATCGCTGCCAGCAACGTCCCCGGGAGCCGGCTCTGCCCCGTGTCTGGTGCCCAAGGCTTAACAAAGAGCGTTTCTGCTCCACGAAGCCCTCCCGCTCCACGGCTCCGCATTTCGGAGGCAGGGAGAAGCCTCAGAGGGGAAGAGCTGGCTGCATAAAACACCCTGCGCTCTCTGGGCTGGCACTTGGGAAGGCTTAGGGGGAAAAAAAAAAAAAAAAGTGTTTTTCTTTTGACTTGATCTCCCCCAAGCCGCAGCTCGCAGCCCACAAGCAGGCGGCAAGCGTTAGCCCAGCCCTGAGAGATGCCCCTTTTCCTTCCAGACTGAGCCCAAATCTGGGCTCTGCTGGTTTCAGCAATGGGGCGATCACAGAAAAACTGCAAATCCTCGCACCGACCTGCAAGTGAGAAGCCACGAGGAGCAGAGGGACCCACGGGGCCAGCCCACAGGCATCTCCCTGGTGCTCTGCAGCCAGCCTTCCCTCCTCAGCCTCCCTCCTTGGGGCACAGAGGGACGGGGCAGGTGTAGGAGCGGGTCCCCTGAAGCTCATCCAAGCTGTGCCGGAGCCTGTTTGAAGCTCAGGAGCCATGAGCTCCTCCCTGAGATGTTGCTCCTCTGCTCTTCCTCCCAGAGACACTACTGCCTGGCTTTGTTTAGGAAAAGAATAAAGGTGAATCAAATAGGTTTTGGGTTTTTTTTTTAGCTGGAAGAGGTGTGTTGGGTGCTGCCTTCCCCTATTTTTGGAACGAGCCATCCCGATTAAAGCAGGGCTTTTCCCAGGCTGGGAACAGGGGGAAAAGGTCTGTGCAGGGACACCACAGCAGGACCCTTCTGTCCTGACACCGGGAGCCACCGGCTCCCCACCATCAGCGCTGCCATCTTCCCTCCCCAGTCCTTCACCCTGCCCTCCCTCCTCCGAGCCCCCGCGGCTGCCCGTTGCCTTGCCAAAGCCTTTTCATCCCGGTGGAAGCCCCCCCTCCCCGCCACCCGCCATCATTCCCGGGTTTCGGGGAGGAGGGCCGAGCTGTGCATGTCCTCCTCCTCTCGGAAGTAGGCAGGTTTTCCCTGGGAGCTGGGGGACTGCTGTGCTTTCGCGGGGCAGTTGGCGACCATGTGGCTGATGCTCTGGCAGAAGTGGCATTTCTTGGGCTGCGGCGGGAGCTTGCACTCTTTGGCATGGTGGTCCAGCCCGCCGCAGTTGTAGCATCTGAGGGGTGGGAAAAAACGGGGGGGGGGGGGGGGAGGAGGAGGAGGAGAGAGATTCGAGGAGGAGAAACAAAATGAGGTGGGATGCTGCCGTGGCTGTGCCTGGGACTCATCTGGCTTCACAGCCAGAGCTGGGCTCAAAACGGCCCGGCCGCTGCGGGGATGTGGGGTCGGCTCTTTGGGGGCGGATGGTGTCCCTGGGTTTGGTCCCCGCAGAGCCCCAACGCCAGCACGGCCAGTTTGGACCTGGCTCAGTGGTGCTGCTGGTACCCAGGAGATGGCAGCAAACCCCCGCACCGAAACCAAGCACTCGGGGACAAAAATCAGGGATGTTGGGGGACTTCCACCCCTCTGCCTCCATCATGGTTCTGGCTTCTGTGTCTACAGACACCCAGGGTTACACGCTACGGACCAAAAGCCTGCGGCAGAGCAGGAACAGGCAATAGGACGGCTGACAGCCCCAGCCGGGAGAATGGTTGCAGGGACTGTGGCCATCAGTGTGGGGACAACCCCAAACGTGGCTTCTCTCATGGCTGTACCCTTGCAGCACTCCTCCCCCAGGTGCCACCTTCGCACCAGAGCGGTGTGGGCAGAGGGAGCTGCCTTGTGTCCGTTTTAAATCCTGCATCCGTCTAGGACGGCCACAACCCTTTTCTCTTTCCTTTTTCTTCCCAATTCCTTTCTAGCTAATTTTAAAACCCGCTTGTGAGAACAGCTGGGTGGGGCGGGCAGCATCCGCTGGGAAAGCCGGGACAAGGCATCCCCGGGCAGCCAGGATGGAGAGGATGGGAGAGGAGAGGGGGGACGAAGGGCTGGCCAGAAACTCGCCCGGGGGCTCCAAGCCTCACCGTGGGAGATGCTGCCAGGACGTCCGGCCATTTCCTTCCCACAAGGAAGGGTTTCTCTTCGAGAAAATTACCCCTGCCCAGCGCGGCTCCCCCAGACGAGGGGAGCGGCCGCCCGGGGTGTCCCTGACCTCTGCCCTTTCGCTGCTGGTTTGCTGCCCTTTCCCCACCAAGCTGCATCTGCCACTCATTAACCACCGAAGGAAGACGCTTTCCCAGAGGAAGGGTCGCTGCCCGCCCCACCGGACCCGAGCCCGTCCCCATGCCACAGGCAGGGTGCCGGGCAGCTCCTGGTGCCCACAGGGCTCGGACCCTGCCCCGGATCAGGCCCCGGCCGCCCCTTACCGGTCTCCTTTCGATCTGCGTTTCTGGAGGCTCTTGCCCTTGGGTCTCCTCTCGCTGCCGATGCAGAAGACACCCCCCGGGCCGGTCACCCGGATGGACTCCAAACCTTTGGACGACTTCTTGAAGGTGAACTCAACAGCTTCGCCCTCCTTCAGGCTGCGGAAACCCTCCATGTGGAGCTTGCTCTGGGGGGGCACGGGGAAAGGACAGGGGTCAGCACCGAGCCGGGGTGTCTGCTGGGCACACGACAAGCCCCAGTCCAGCAAACACCTCCCGTGGCACGAGAGCTGCCAACGTCCCCCCATGCCTGCCCCTTGTCAGGGGATGGACATCGGGGACCAAGCTCAACCAGGCACCTTCATCTCCCTAAAATCTCTGGAGCCCTGTTTGATAGTGCAGAGCCTTCAGTGAGCTGAGACACCCAGCCGAGCAGGGCTCACTGGTTTGGCAAGCAAGGGCCGGCAGAGCCAGCTCTGACCCAAATTTCAGCGGTGTTTGCTGCAGAACGCTGGCTCTCAGTGCTGCAAAACAGCCCCCTTCTCCCACCCAGCCCCGCGCTGGGGAGCGAGACCTGCCCCTGCGCCTCCCGACACCCCGGGCTGGGGATGCTCGTGGGGAGATCCAAAATGTCCTTTTAAAAAGACAAAAGGATCTCGAGGCTTTGCACAGGCACGTGCAACACCGCTTGTGGCAGGACCCACAGCAAGGCCAGGAGGCTGGAAGCTGGCGCTGCCGGCCCGGGGTCCCAGCCAGCTCCCTGCACCGCAGCCCCCTCGCTGCAGCTCACCTCGGTTCAAGCCCTTCTAATGCCCCCAATAATTAATTAAGCAGCCGTTTGGCCCTGGATCATCACTGCTGGGGGCATCTCCTGTCCCTCCCAGGATCGCCACATCAGTCATCACTATGCAATCAAACTCAGGAGTTCAGACCCAGGGTGGGGAGGGGGATTGTGAGATGAGAGAAAAATCCACTCCACTTTCATGAGCTCCGTCCATTTTAGCAGAACAAATTCATAAGGAGCTGAGATGGGCGATGCAGCCGATGTCTCTTGCCCCCCTGTGCCAGCCAGCACTGCCGTGAGCATCGCTGCCTGCTCTGACGGACCAGGACCTCCGCATCCCAGGCAGTGATTCCAGCAGGGCTTTCGGCTCAACTTCATCAGCGGAGCCCAAACGAGAGTCAACAAAGAGTTAAGGGGGATTTGCTGGCAGAGGGAGGAGCAGCTCCAGCGGGCTGGGGATTCCTGGCAGAGCCGGCGCCAATGCCTATGCGGATGCAGCAAGACCCTGCATTTATGAATGGAGCATCTCCCCCATTCATGGCCTGGCGAGTCCCCGTCACGTGGACCGTGGCCGCCCATTCTTCCCGCACCGAGCCTCTGTGCGCACGCTGCCTGGGGACGGGCAGGCCTGGCCGGTTCCCTTCTCCCTTCCCCTTTTCCACCCCCTGATCTCCCCAGGACCCACGTGGAAACACCCCACATAAAAGCGGAGAGGGAGGAAATGGAGTTGTTGGGATTTAGGAGTGAATTTTTTTCAGTGTGGTCTTGCAAGACCTGTGTGTGTCCGTGGGCACATGAGGGAGGTTGGAACGCAGCAGAGCTCGAGGAACAACCCTCAAGGCCCCTTTCTCTGCTGCTTTCCCCCCCTGCTTCTGTGTCTGGGGGTCCAGCTCTCGGTGGGACAGACCCCACGGGCTGGGCCAAGTCACCCACATCCACCCGGTCCACTTGCCTGCTGGGACAGGGTCCAGGGTCGTCTGGATGGGATCACCAGAAACCTTTGCTCTCTGACCTGCTCCTGCTCCCAAAAGGGAGAGCCAAACCATGAGCTACGAGGTCCCCAGTGACAAGGAGGATGCGACAGGAGCTCAGCAGCAACCTCTGCCCATCCAGGGCTGCTGGTCCGAGCAGTCCCATCACCACCTACCACTGACAAACGCCCTGCCACGCTCAACGCAACAGCCAGATGCTGCTCCCCAACCCCAACTTGGCTTTCCCCCAGCGCCGAGCCTCACTGGGAGGATGCTGAGCATCACCCAAGGAGGAGCTCTGTGTCCAAAGCAGCTGCCAGCACAACGCGGGAGGTGCCTGGCTCAGCCTTGGCATCTCGGGGTCGGCCACCAACCCTGCCCTGTCCCCAACGTGCCGCCCCACCAGCCCCCTCAAACCCCCTGCGCAAGGCGATTTGGGCAACAGGGGCTGCCACGGACAGAAAATTTGCCCCACTCCAGCAGCAGCCGCGGCGTTTTGGGGGCGAGGAGGAGCTGAGCATCAGTCCGTGGCGAGCATCACTCCATGGCACAGGAGGCAGCTCTGGAGGCTGGGGGACGAGAGCCAGAGATCCTTATCGGGGGTGTTTACAGCCCCAGCCGGCCCAGCTGTGTTTACACTGCGGAGATGAAAACTCCCAGGCCCTCGGCCCCAAACTTCGG